CGAGATCGTTGGTCACCGTGCTCAGGATGGAAAGTGATCCCCTCAGAGGCGAATGCGTCGAACAGGTGTTCTCGCTGTAACAAAGTTCTCTTGCCTGCGAGTGCTTGCTTCCGTCTAGCTTGCTAGCTCTAATTTTAGCGGCAGAGTGGGTGAGACTCGACAGAAAGGCGGACGATTTCTTCAGAATGCCTTCCTCCGTCGCTTTCCGATCGATCTTCCGCGTCGTCGAGAAACCTGCAATGTCATTCGAACACGTGTTTTCAGCTTTCAAATGGAGAAGATCTGAACAGCTGAAGAATCCAGGTGCCTTTGCTTTTTCCTTCTTTGACAACTACTGCTTCGTATCGGAAGAATAACGTGTCGAATTTACAGATACGTACTTTCTCGGAGATAATCGGGCACAGAGAAGGACTTGCGAATAGATCTGTCGCGATCCACGGACGCTGCGAGGGTCTCGTTGGGGGACTGTTGTTTGGTGAAATGGCGGTGAAGTTTGCTGCGTGTACCATTCACGGCATCAATCTTGTCCTTCCTGTCAACGACGGTGGACGACGCCGTGCAGTTATTTCGTGCGAGCTCTCCCCTGGACGCGACGATGCTCGTGTTGTTGACCTTTGTCGCCAGAGAATTGCACCTTAGCCTTCGGCTATCTTCCTCCTGTTTCCATCACTCGTGCATGTTATTAAATGGATTCCTTCCACTTAGCAAACGTCGTTGCGCAGCGAGTGACAAAATTATTCTCGGAATTAAATTAAATTTCTGCTACGTAGATTAGAAAGAAATCTGTCGGAGGGGTGAGAGAGCGGTCGAAAGACTTACTTACTTACTTGCCAGAGAAAAAAAAAATGGAGGAACTTTGAACCGACGATTCAAGCGGAGGGAAGGAGAACGAGAGCGGCTCTGGTTGGAAATCGATGGTTCCCGCGGAAACTCTCGGAAATCACTGGCGGTGTTCGCGGATCAACAGACACTCGGCAACGCCACGCCGAGGCGTCTCTCTCTCGCCGCGTCCGGAGTAGGAGAAGTTCCTTGAAAAGCGGAGTCGTGCCTTCCGGATCGGCTGGTAAGACGTGCACGCGAGTTCTACCGCTAGCCCGTTTCAACTAAATGCTATTTATACGTCGGTTGAGTCGGAAAGAAAGGAGGATTGCCTTGTTCTTCCGCCTCTGGCCACCTTTTTCTTATTTTTCGATTCGAACCAACTACTCTATCAACGGGCGAATTTGCTCTTGGTATTTTCGCTTTTCGTATAAACGTCCTCTGCTGCGCAACTGAGCGTAGAAACGATCGGCTGGCGAGCTACGATTATCGTCAAATCAATGGATCGCGTACGTACGTACTTGCACATGGAAATGGTGGAACACGAAAGGAGGAACGCTTACTCGATACATAGCGTCTTGCACGTCACGACGGCACTTTATCCCACTGGATAGAGAAATTCTCCTGGAATGGTACTCGTTCTCTTGATTCTTCGTCATCGTCGACGTGGACCTCATGAGACGCGTGCTACCGATAATGAGAGAGACGAGTCAAGTCGATCGATCGTCTCGGGTTCCAGGTAGCATGTTGCCCTCCCCCCCGATCGAACTGATAAACGAGAAAGTGGAAGTATTGTTTAACCGAGTAAATCGGCTACGTTAATTTCGTCTCTGTTGCGAGGTGTTTGCGCAATCGAGGAGTTCGAGAGAGCGTGAGATGACGACGACGACGACGACGACGATGATCTTGGTTGAGCGAACTTTTCGACGGTCGTGCACACACTCTCGTCTTTTTGCTAGAGCGTGCTTATTTCGGCGGTGTGTTACATTTACCCGACAGCCTTATCGTCGTAGTCGTCGCCACCAGCCTGGCGTTAAGCCAATATTTTCAATTCTCCTCTATGCACGATGAGAACCTCGATCGATTCTGACGCGATGACTCCGCGGCTGTTTATCGATCTTGCAAAAATTATTGCGAGCTCGAGTTATTTCGGCAGAAACCGTGTGTAACCAGCCAGCGATTACGATTTTCTGTGAGAAGAACGAGATTTCTGTGAAACTCTCGATTGCCCTCTAATTAATAAAATATTGAAAGTATTCAATTGATTAATGACAGGGATTTTCGGTCATTTTTAAAAATAACTTGTATCTTAATAAACTTCGAGTATTAATTATCAAGTGGTAATATCACTTTCATTGCTTCAGTTGTTTCGCAAAAAAAAAAAAAAAAAAAAA